CATTCGCTCCACCGTTCACAACGATCGCTGCCAACTTTTACGCCGCGCAGCTTGCGCTCACGCCAAGGTGCATCGATAGTAAAAGGACGTGCTGAAGGGACCGGTCGCGTGTCGTTCAAGGTGTCGAATCTTCTTGCGGTGCCAATCGACACGTCCAATGCCGATGATTTAGCCACAGCGCTCCGTTTTCAAGAGTTTTCCGTTAGCATCATGTCTCGACCCGTTTTTCTCGGCGACCAGATTCCGTCGTCTTGCCACCTCCCCCTGTCCACCGAGGATCTGGCGTTGATTCACGGAACCGCCGACTTTTACGCCCTTGACCCTTACCTGTATTTGTAGAGCCCCCAACGACATTTGAGAGTCTCACTGACTCGCACGTTGTTCCTTTTTGCGTTTAATTATACGAGCACCTTCACGAGTGACGTGTGCGGCGATTCCGTTTACCAATTTTTGCGAGCTGTGAAAATACGAGTTTCTCTTCACATGATTGCACCGTTTGTCACTTTGTTATTTTCAATCTGCTGCCCCCTTCCTCGAATCACAATGATCTCTTTTACTTTCGGCAAAGCTGTGCGCTCAACTACCATGCTTTGTGTTTCTTCGATTATGTGAATAAAACACACCAGAGCCGCTTCGATTACATCATTATTTTTATTGATGAGTTTGAAGTGGAAGGGCAGGAGGACCGCCTGCGTAGCGAGCCCAAATACTCGCCAACCGCTACTGCTGCTGGTTTCAAGCGAGGAGCACCAACACCTTAAGCGAGCAAGTGCAAAGACGGCCGCAGTCGGAGCATGGGGGTCTGTTCTAATCGCTTGTTTGCGCGAAAGGGCGGAGCAACCAACTGATTTCTTTCGTCTGCTTTCACCCTTCTTGTTGAGAGGAATCGAATGATGGTAAGGCGACGGAGATCGACTGAAGCGGCTGGAAGAACACATTGCTCTCTCTCTCTCTCTCTCTCTCTCTCTCTCTCTCTCTCTCTCTCTCTCTCTCTCTCTCTCTCTCTCTCTCTCTCTCTCTCTCTCTTTCTCTCTCTCTCGCTCTCTCTTTGGGTCTGCCCTTCGATTTACATGTACAGTCGCTCGCTAGTTCCGACAGGAACACTGCGGTTGAATTTATCCCCGCTTTATTTTTCGCCAATAATTCCTTCCAAATCAGGATTCAAATAAAATCAGAAAACAGGAAGAGTCACGTGCCTCACAATGTCCGTGTCCGTGTCCGTCTCCGCTCTCCTTCCATTTCTCCTTCCAAAAATCAACTGCAGACAAACGACCGAAGCGCCCATGCACAGAAATAAAAGGCAGCGTAATGTGAACGCCTGGTGCTTCACCACGTCTGCACAAGCTCCCGCAATCGCCCTGGCCTGATACTGCGACCTTTCACTGAGCCCGTCTTACACCAAAAATGGCCCGCCACGACGACACCGACGCAGCCACAATCGGCGACGGCCGCAGCCCAGAGAATTTGCACTCTCCTGACCCAAACTCGCAAAAGAACCAAACCGTCGAGGTTCAGCACGTCGAGAACACCACCATCGTCCCCGGAATGTCCAACCTGCAGTTCTTCCTCGTCTTTGTCGGGCTTAGCGTGGCTGTATTTCTTGCCGCACTCGACCAGGTAAGGAAGGAACTCTTTTTTTCTCGATAGAACTGCGATAATATCTTCCACCGCTCAGACAATCGTCTCTGTCGCGCTCCAGGCGATAGCCACCGAGTTCGCCGCTCAGGACCAAGTCGCATGGGTCGCCACCGCCTACCTGCTCACGTCCACCGCGTTCATCCCATCCTACGGCCAGCTCGCTGACATTTTCGGTCGGAAGCCGATTTACCTCGTATCCATTGTCGTGTTTGAAATCGGAAGCGCGCTTTGCGGGGCCGCAACCAGCATGCCGGTATGTGTCATAGCCAAAAAAACTTGAAGGAATCTGACCGATAATTATCAGTTCCTCATCGTCGCGCGTGCTGTTGCCGGTGTCGGGGGTGGTGGCATATTTTCGCTCGTCATTGTCATCATATCGGACCTTGTGCCTCTCCGGGACCGCGGGAAGTGGACCGGCGTTATCGGAGCGGCGTTTGGACTCGCGTCCGTCGCTGGTGAGCTCCTTCCAAATAAACCCATTTCCAACATTCAAGCTATTATTCAACCAGGCCCACTTCTCGGTGGTGTTTTCGTCGACCACGTTTCCTGGCGCTGGGTCTTTTACATCAACCTCCCCCTCGGTGCCATCGCCATCATTGTCGTCATCCTCTTCCTCAACGTCAAGACCGAAACCTCAAAGAACATGTGGGCTGACTTTGCGCGCATCGACTGGCTCGGCACCTTCCTCCTCGTCGCCGCCGTCATCTGCGTCCTCGTCCCGCTCCAAGGCGGCGGAACTCAGTTCGCCTGGACGTCGTGGATTGTTAAGACCCTGTTCCCCCTCGGATCGCTGTTTCTGATCGCGTTCGTCTTTGTCGAGGCAAAAGTCGCGCAGCGGCCGATCATCCCGCCGCAGATTTTCAAGGACTATCGCGTCGTGTTTACATTCTTGACTTCATTTTGCTTTGGCGCGGCGTTTTTTGGTCTGATCTTTTACGTGCCGCAGTGGTTCCAGGTCGTCAAAGGAGGTGAGCAAAAGCCACGACTGCTGCTTGTCAGTCTTCATGGTCTTCTCAATCCTTTCCCGAAACCGCTGGTTCAAACCCGCACAGATTCTGCAACGACAGCCGGCGTCCGCACCCTCCCACTCATCCTCGGCCTGGTTGTCCTCGTGGTCCTCACCGGCATCATTTCCAGCGGCACGGGGCTTCGCCTGGGGCTTCATCCCGCTCGGCGCGGTCATCGTCGCCGTCTGCAGCGCGCTCTGCAGCCTCCTCGACGAATCCAGCGAGGGCTGGAAGCAGATCGTCTACATCCTCATCGGCGGCCTCGGCGCCGGCTCCGCGCTCCAAATGATCGTGCTCGTCGGCCAGTTCTCCGTCCCCGAAGACATGCTGTCGACCATGACATCGCTCTGCAACTTTTCGCAGACCATCGGCGCCGTGCTGGGGCTCGCCGCATACTCGGTTGCGTTCAACCAGAAGCTGCCGGGGTACATCGAGGACAACATCCAGAAAGCGAACTTGACGCTGCACTTTTTGGTGCCGGGTGTGACGAAAGAAACGCTTACTGTTGTCGCCATCGCTTATCAGGCAGACGCTGCCGGAAAACGAGTGGGGGCCGATCATTCACGCGTATGTGCAAGCCCTTCAGCTGGTGTTTTATATGACGATTCCTTTCGGGGCGGGGGCTGCATTGTGTTCGCTGCTTATGAAGAAGGATCGCCTTCCGTCTGGTGTTGAGATGCCCCTTGCGGTGTGATCTTGGGCATTGCCTGCAATTGTCAAACTTCTTCTATGCTCCTGTGGTGCATCATTGTCAATCCAAATTAAAATACTGGAACCTCCTCCCTCTTTTTCATTGGAAACAAATATGGTCGACAAACGACCCCGTTCGTGGTGGTCAGCCGCTGCACCCCCGCCGCCGCCGCCGCCGCACATGGCGTCCGCGGCACAGGCGCCGGCGCGACCGGGGCTGCCGCAGGTGGCGGCGGCGTGTCTTCGTGCGGTCGGTGGCCTCGGTGGCCTCGGTCGTCCCGAATATGAAGACACGAGCAACACGACGGACTTCGCCAAAAACGGAGGAGTGGCTGTCTGCCGCTGCTTGTGCTAGTCACGCCACCGATGACCGATGGGTCTTCAATCTTCGGCTTCGAGCAGACTTGAATTTTCTTCGCGCGGTCTGTCGGGCGCTCTCTTTCGTAGCCCAGCATTGCACGAAGACAGTTTTCGCCTGTATCGTCTTGCACCCAGACTGTCTTCCATCGCACTACAATAAAAACCATTTCAGGACGTCGCCGCACAAACAAGCGACCCGCCTCCGCTACCTTCACCTACGCAAATCAACATTCTGATCTCCCAAAAAAAAGTCACAAGATGACCACTGCGAACCTGCCCCTTTCCTCGACCAGCCGAAAAACTCTCCGCCGGAAACCGCCGTCTCGCACCTCGCCCTCGGAATCTCGCCTTCCTTGCATCGCTTCTCCTGGTGCTGCCCCTCCTGCTGTCGCTGCTGCCAGGTGTGTCCTTTGTGGGTGTTGCGCACGCTCGACCGGCGCCAAACCCGCACCCACGCCCAAATCCGCCAAACTCGCCGCATCACCGCGAGCGATCGAGCTCGCTGGAAGATCTTCGTCAAGACCTTGACAACCGCTACCACGCCGACACACCCCGTAACTCTCGCCACGAACCTGTTCACCATCGAGCAACACCGACTTCGCCAAAGAAATCGTCGGAAGTCCGTGGTGCTGAGCGGGCGCATCACCACCAAAGGCGTCGCTGATTGACGTCGCACTGACACCCGCTTTCCTTTTTCGAAGAATTTTTTGGCTTATTGATGTCCGTCTGCTCCCCAAATGACCCAACAACCATGTGATTGGCGAAAGGTATAACCTTTCGCCATTTAAGTCGTCCTCCTCCTCTTTTGCGATGATGTCAAGCAAAGCCTTTCCCCAAATTTGATACGTGTGAGAATTCCTTTCTTTCCCACTCAAAGTTCATTCTTGTCTCGCGCTGTCTGGCTTCTCTTGAGAAGGGTTCATTTTACCCAATTTTCCTTTCGCCGATGAACCAACACGAGAGAGTGGCAATGTCACTTAGACCCGCCCCACCAATCTTTCTCCAGAGAAGTAAAATCTCCCGGATTTTAATCCAACCTGAGTGAGCTTTGGTCTCAGTTCGTAAAGTTGAGTATTCAACTTCGAGATGGTTCATATTCTCGAACGCCACTGAAGGATTTCTCTGCCTTTCAATTTCTACAAACCTTATCAGCGTTGGCCGGTCCTGTGGTTCCCCGTCACAACCAGTTAATGCTCCACCATTTAGATCTGAAAAAGGGAGTCAAGACGTATCTGCAAAGAAATGGGTGGCGCAAGGAATCGTGAAAAGAAAGCAGCGATCTAAAGGAAAAAAGCCCTTCGTGAACGCCCCTGCGACAATTTGAACGCCGATCTTCGCCGAGAGTTTTCCAAATGCATTGAGATGAAGGTGCGATGTCCTAGCCATTGGACGACAGGGGCTGAAGAGACGCCTTTGCTGGACCAATTCACATAGAAGAGGGCGCCAGCCATTCAAGAAAAAATTTCTTGAAAGATGTCTGCCCATGTCCTTTTGGGAACGGAGTTAGAACCCAGCTATCGGGCTGTCAAGGTCCTTGGCTCCCTGCCATACCTGCGTGGTATTGCAGCCTTCGGCTGCGTGCAATAGAAAAAATTCAAAGAGACAAGGCTGTTCCAGCTTTCGAACACATTCTGTCGTGTTGGGTCTCATTTGCAAAGCTTCATTTCAAACTTCGCAGAAAAGGCAGGCACCTCATTTACTACTCTTGCGAAATCTCAACCCTGTCCCACCAAAACTGCGACTCCTTTGCTGCCCAGACATCGTCGATAACCTCGCACGGCGCACATTCGGAAGCTCCGACCTCATGTTCCTTCATCCCCTGTCCAAAAATCAAGAGCTTCCTGCCTTCCGGATCGTTTCGATACGCAGGCCAAAGCGGCCTCTGCTTGATCCCCTCCGCCACCAACGCATTCGGATCACCATCGCAGCACACAAAACTCGCGATATACGTGTTCGTCCACCTCGTCAGCAAGTCCAGCTCCTCGCTCTTGCCCGTCACTATCGGGTCGACGGTCTCATACAGAATATTCCTCCCGTGCTGCGCCCCGATGATCGGCCCGCTGTCCAGCGCCCAGTGGTACAGGTACACCGGTACACCAGCCTTTGCCGCAAAGTACGCGGTCTGCCGCACCGGCGCGACGTACGCGTAGTGCCCGTACGCAGCCTCGACGCGCTTGTACTGCGTGCCGACGCCGAGGTGCAGCCGGTGCTCCTTGTAGACGGAGTCAGGGTAGACCAGCGGGTCCGGGTACAGCGCGTCGAGGGCGGCCAGGTCCGCATCGTCGAGCTGCGGGAGGAGCGTGCGGAAAAAGTCGAGGAACTGGTCGGAGGTCGCGGTGGTCTTGTCGACGTAGAGCGAGCCTTCGTTGCCGTTGAACCCGGTCATGATGGGCACTTTGTGCCACAGCCCCTGCCGCCACGCGTCGATGGGGCGGCGGCGGATGATCTCGCCGTCGATGACGGGCTGAAAGGCCCAGCGCAGGCTCGGGTTGTACTTGTCGAAGACGGCGGTCTGCGCGGCGGCGATGGTCTCGACGGGGAGCGAGCGGAGGAACGGGAAGACTTGTTCGTCGGGGAGGTCGCGCGGGCAGTTCAAGGCGTCGAGATAGTCGCGGAACTGCTGCTCGTGGATCGGGGCGTTGGGGCGGCGCACCGCGCGGGAGGTGGGTGCACCGGACTCGATGACGACGCGGTGGAAGAGAGGCGGCGTTTCCGGGTCGTAGTTGAGGAGGTGGTGGCCAATCTGAAATGAGATTTGCACAGGCCCGATTAGTGAAGCGTGGGGGAGTGTTTGTCGCAGCCAATTGCTTACCGAGTGAGCACCGGCCGACAAGCCGATCAGTGTCACGTTGCCCGGATCCCCCCCAAATTGCTCAATGTTCTCGTGCACCCACTCCATCAGCATGATCTGATCCTTCAAGCCAAGGTTCAGCGCTCCCTCTTTGGCGCTCAGAGCCGACGGCAGAAACCCTAGCGACCCGATGCGGTAGTTGAACGAAACGCAAACCATCGGCGCCGCCGAATGGCCGACAAACGACGTCGTGTTGTGCATAGAGGCGGAAGCCCGGTTGAATGCACCTCCATGAATGTAGATCGCAACGGGCAGCTTCGTCTTTCCCTCTCTCGTCGCCTCAGCCTGCCGGAACACGTTGGCAGTCAGCGAGTCCTCGCTCTGCTCGAGCTTTGGGCCGAGGATGATCAGCTGCTTGGCGAACTGGCGCGGCCCGAACTGCGAGGCGTCGATGACGGTGTCTGGCGATGCGTCTGGGACGCGGACGGGCGGGCGGAAGCGCCTGTTGCCGGTGGGCGGAAGGCAGTATGGGATGCCGAGGAAGGCCTCGACGGCGTGCGGGTAGTCGCCGTCGCGCACGACACCGAGAACAGTGCCTTGGCGAATCGTGACGGCGGGGCGGCGGAGGCGGTCGTAGTCGTGCTCGGCGCTCATGGCTCGTTATCTTGGCTATCTTTGCTATCTCGCTGTCTCGCTCGCTTGTTCGTGTTGCTGGCTTGTGGTACTAGAAACAAACGCCGGCCTGGCCCGGCTGTGTCTGCGCATGCTTGCCTTCCTTGGTGACAGCCTGTCCCTTGCCACCACCGTCTGTCTCTCTCTCTCTCTCTCTCTGTCTCTCTCTCTCTCTCTCTCTCTCCCTCTCTCTCTCTCTCTTCTCTGTCTCTCTTTCCCTCTCTCTTTTTCTCTTTCTCTGGGTGACAGCCTGTCGCTGGATGAGGGCGGTTCTCGCGTCTGTCGCTCGCTCTGTGTCAATCAGCCGGCGGACCGCAGGACATGCCTTTCCAAAAGAGAACCACTCGGTCCTGTCTTATCTTTGACGCGAACTCCGCTCCGCCCCTGTGCGGGAATGCCTCGTGTGATTGCAGCCTCTGCAACGACTATCGGCATCACGCGATCTCTGCGAGTTTTTTTTCCTCCAAGGAACAGACCTCACCAGATAAGAGAAATACACACCGGTGATCGGCCAAAGCTCAATCCCCCCCCCTCTCGGCAGACAGGAACTGAACTTCACTCTTGGCATGGCCGAAACCAGCGACTCCAATCTGGCCACTGACACCGCCGCCAAGGCGTCCGACGGCGCCTCCATCCTGGCATCCAACAACGGCAGCGCGACCGTCGACGACAAGCTGGACGAGGCCGGATCTTCCTGCGCCAGCACAACCTGTCCCCGGAGTACGTCCAGCAGTTGGTCGCCGACGATGATGCCCTCAAGAAGCTGCTCCGCCGCATCGACATGACTGTGTTGCCCCTCCTCTGCGTCACATACATGCTGCAGTACGTCGACAAACAGGCGCTGTCCTACGCGGCCGTGTTTGACCTGTTCACCGACGCCCACATCAACGGAACGCAGTACAGTTGGTTCCCGAGCATCTTTTACTTGGCGTATCTCCTCGCAGAGTACCCGTGGAGCTACTTGGCGCAAAAGACTCAGCTCGCCAAAGTCGCTGGCATCTGCATCATGCTGTGGGGAAGCGTGTTAATGTTGACGGCCGCGAGCCACGACTTTATCGGCATGGCTGTGTGCCGCTTTCTCCTCGGCGTGTTTGAGGCCCCGATCACCACTTTCTTTGTTATGATTGTGGCCCAATGGTAAGATATTATTTTCGTCGCCTTCGTGTGATCATGAAACCCTTCGAGGAAATCTCAAACCGTCTGTCTTCAGGTACACGCGTCAAGAGCAACCCTTCCGCGCCGGTGCATTCTACAGCTGCAACGGGCTTGGATCGATGGTTGGAGGAATACTCACGTACGGCATTGGCCAGATCGGCGGCGGCTTCCCGGTGTGGAAGTCTATCTTCCTCATGCTTGGCGGTGTTACCGCGTTATGGGGAATCGTCATCATTTTGTTCCTACCCGACAGCATCATCTCCGCCCGCCGCTTCTCTGTCGATGAAAAAGCGGCTCTCATTGGCCGAGCTCGTCTCGCCCGCACGGGAGTCATCAGCCACAAAATCCGAATGTACCAAATCTGGGAGGCCCTACTCGACCCGCAAATCCACCTGCTCTTTCTCTTCATGCTCCTCAACGCCACCATCAACGGCGGCGTCGCCAACTTTGGCAAGCTCATCATCAAGGGCGTCGTCTCGGATCCGTTCAAGACGGTCCTCCTCGGCATCCCGCAGGGCGCCTTCTCCGTCTTTTGGATCCTGTCGGGAACTTTCCTCGCCTCGCGCTTCAAAAACGTAAACACTTTGGTCATGCCCCTGTACCTGGTCCCAACCGTCGTCGGAGTCCTGATGATGTGGCTGATGGACCGCAAGACCCAAGCCGTCGGAGTACTGTTCGGGTACTACCTGTGCGGCTCGTTTGTCACCTCGCTCGTCCTCTGCATGCAGATGCCGGCGATGAACCTCGGCGGGTACACGAAGCGCATGACGGGTACGGCTGCGGTCTTTTTGGCAATTTGCGTTGGAAACATTGTCGGCCCTCACGCGTTCTTGGACGAGGAGGCGCCGACCTACGCGACGGGTTGCAAGGTGATCTTGGGCTGCTGCGCCGGTCAGCTTGTTGTGGCCATGATGCTGAGGTGGCTGCTGATTTCGCGGAACAAGCAGAGGGACGCGATGTCGGTGGATCGCGTGTCGGCAACCGCTAAAATGGGCGAAATCGACGCGGCGGTTGTGGAGGTCACGGATCAGACGGATTTCGAAAACCCCAAATTTAGATACGTGCTCTGAAGAACGGCAGTTTCATGACTTCCAGTCATAAAAATTGTCAGTGTTCATACCTCATGATACTTGCTTTGTGTCGAACTTCGAAAACTCATTTGCCTCCAAATAAACGAGAATTCAAAAATTTTTCTGGTTGCACATGAAAGGTCACAGTCTGACGCAGTTGCAGTCATGGCCGCCTAATTGCGACGTGGTACGCTCGCTATCCAGATTTGAAACGGGGTCTGTCAAAAAAAATTAGGTTGCTAAAAGGATTTGATGGAGGTGTGAGTGAAAAGCGGCTACAGGTTTAATGCAGAACGCCCCTGCGACGATTTGAACGCCGATCTTCGCCGAGAGTTTTTCAAGATTTGGAAAGGTGTGCGATGTCCTAGCCATTGGACGACAGGGGCTGAAGTAAAACTTTGCTGGTGCAATTTGAGGAGAGGCGCAGCCATCTCGGAAGAAATTCTTCCCAAATGCCTGTCCAGGTCCTTTTTTAAAACCCCAGAGCAAACACGGTTGCCGGGACGAAACGCGGATTCGAATAGCGAAGTCGTCCACATTTCTGGCAAATATTACAAAGCATCTCAAAGAAGCCATCCCCGGAGAAAGGAAAGTCATAAAAATGGATAAAAGTTGACCGATGCAAAGCCAAGCAACAATGGTCAGCCCACAAAAGCCTCCCAGTCACATCGGGGACCTATAAAGTCCATCGCGTTTCGAATCATCTGCAAGT